GCCACATCAACCGGAAGACACAATATGAAAACCCAGTTCTTGAAGCGAAGAGGAAGAAACAGCTTGAGCAACAGCAACAGCCGCCCGAAGGTTGGCACTGCCAGGGCGCGGTGGTTGGGGTTCTCACAGGGAGTGTGCCCTCCCTCGCCTTGGCAGCACCGTGCCAGTGTGTTTGTCCCTCCTGCTGTGGCCTTAACGTTCAAAGGCAAAGTACGGGCGTAGGAAAGGTTGTGTATGCCCTTCATGTAAGATGCAGCCAAAAAAAAAAAACGACACCACATAACCACTTTAACATAGTAGCTTTCACCCCTGTAAAGAGGGAAGGATTTTTCTGCTTATGTCCTTTGTGGAAAGTTTCTAGGCTTCCTAGAACATGCTTTTTCCTCTTTAATCTGCTCCATTAAGTTGTTTGTAGCCGGTTTTGTTTTAGTCTGCACTGGGACTCAGGCTGCTAAAGGGGATGAGGAGTGGGCCTTTACATGTGCACTAGAGAAACCTCTCTGCATGAGAGACTGCTTAAACCAAGACCTTTGGGTGATGTCAAGCTCAAACACCTGAAATAATTTCATTATTTCAAAACATTTTTATTTTTTTAATTTTCCTTTTTTTTTTTCCTTTCTTTATTCCTTTTTCCTTTTTTTTTTTTTTTTTTTTTTGTTTAAATGCAGCAGAACTGCAGTGAGGGGCTATGGCATTTGGGTTTATTTTGGTACCTTTGTAGATTTCACACCAAGTTATTTCACAACAGTCATTATTCAAGGGGAAGATAACTCAGGCTTCAAAATTCCTCCTGCAGCTCCCTTTCCCACAAGGTGAACTGATGCTACAAGGGCCATGGGGAACAGATTTCATACAAATATGGAGACCACTTAAATGCGAATCAAGTCCCGACTTTGAGTGTGAAGTAGGGTGTCCCAGCAGACCGATCAGTTGACCTGGACATAGAGTCTCCTTCAAAACTGGTTTTGAACATCCCATTCATTTTATTCCATCTCGCTGTGACTCTGTTTCCTCTCTTGCCGTGCTTCTCGTGTCTCGTCTGCTTGAACCCCACGCTCCCAGTGTGTGTACACGTAGGAGCTCATAGTACTGTTGTGAAACAAGTAACATTTCCCTCTCTGCCCTCTCTAGAATGGACAGAGGAGTGTCCATCTCTCCCACCACCCGCTGCTCCAAACCATGTTTCAAACAACCAAGAGGCAGTTCGGGAAGCACCAGTGCAAGGTAACAACCTTGTTAAACCAGCTGTAAAAGTGCAACAAGTCTTTGAAAAGGCATGGTGAAAAAATGAGTTGCAACATTGCTGGGATTTAACAGCAACTGTTCACGTATACAAGTGCAAATAAAAGGACACCCTTTTCTACAGAGCTGTACGGTTATGCAAGTATTAGGCTTTTACACCTTCTAAACTCTACAGAGTTTAGAATGTGGCTCTTATAATAAGATCTGGCGCAGAGATTTCTTTCTGTTCTCATAGGTCAACATTCCCTCCCAACAAAAAGGACAAAATCTCACTGTGTTGCACTGTGAGTAAGACAAGGACATGCAGTAGCGTGGTCATGTTTTAGTTTGTGAGCCAAAGCTAATGTCACCCCATGTCTGCATTCATGGGCAGGCAGAGTTTCAAGTTATAGTAGTGTAAGAGCCCTGGAAACTGGTCGATGTGTTTGGGAGCTGTCATGTGCACAGGTTGTCGGCACTGTTTGGCAGGACCTTCGTTATGGAGAGCTTGAGTGTCTTGGTTGCATTTGTGACATCTGATCAACCAGGTTCTAGTATTGCCAGAAATGGGTCTGGCTTGTGACTCTGTATTTTCCTTTTGTGTTCTTTGAATCTGGATGAAAATTTTAGAGGGGATAGGAGCTGGAGGAACACCAGAAGAGGGAGGTCCTCTGCCAATTGGGGAGCTTGGCAGAGCTGCCAGGCCTCCATGCTGAATCTGACTTTCTGTAGTAACAGAAGGTGAAGAGGCACAAGCGCCTTGGCCACACATTAGGGGCAAATTATATCCTGTTTCTGACAAATCTGAGTTGAAGCTCCTCTAGGAAGCACTACATGAGGAGGGAATGATGATAGCTCCAAATACTGTGGACCTGCTTTGAAGTCGTACATGTGTACAAGTACTTTGGGCTATTACAGCCTTATTTGTTAGTGTCAGTGGTCTGTGGATGACCAGCTGCTCACAGACCAGTCGCTTCTCTTAAATAACTAACCAGACAGGACATGAATCGTTCCTGAATTTGCAGCATGAGCTGAAACGTTGCCAGATCAGGTTGCCAGCGAGGGCAGAGAGTTCCACTTGGACCTGTTGCAGTACAAGTGCTCTCTGGTTACAAGTGGTTCTAAGTAGGCTTCATCTTTGGCTACAGCTAAATTCCATAGCAAGCGAGTGGCATTGCCCTGGTCTGCAGGAACCAGAGGCTGGGGAAGATCAGAGAGGGGGGATAAGGCTGGAGCACGTCATCCTGGCAGAGCTGGGAGCAGCCGGGGTGAGGCTGGCCGCGGGAGCTGGGAGATGCTCCCTTGCTCTGCAGGTCAGCTGTGGCTTCCGATGGTGAGGCCAGGGGGGTTTGCTTCTGTCCCGGGCTGCCTTTCCTGCCAGGAAGAGCCAGGGAGTGCTCTCTGCTGCAGCTGGCAGCAGATCAGCCCTTCCAAAACAGATGTGTCAAATTTGACAGTATCCAAAGCTCTCAGCATGTTCCCGAGGGACAGTACAGTACGTTGGAGTAATCCAGACTTTCAGCAAGGAAAAATGTGGGAGCTCTGGGGATGGTACCCTGACCACCCGGCATTGCGGGTTAGGCATCTCGGCAGAGTGCCCCAAAAATGCTGGTCTTCCTCAGGCAGACATCTGTGAATGCCAGCTCTGCCTTTCACGCTTTTACACTGTCAGGCTGGAGCGAGGGCTGCCCAAGTGTCCATGCATGGCAGTGCAAAGGACCCGTCCCGCAGGGGATGACATTAGGAGCCGTGCTCAGCTCTCCACCCACTCCTGGCTGCCAGCTGCTGAAATTTTGCAGCAACGTTACAGGAGAGCATTCGCCTGTCTGAGCACCACTCTGAGTGACGTGTCCTGATACCTGCTGGTGTCTCCTCTCTTTCGCTCCTTCCTTTCTCAGTGCTGCTCCCTCTTCTCTCGCTCCCCATCTGCAGCAGCTGTTTCCAGCTTCTCTGTCGCCCTGCCCTATTCCCAGGGGTTTCCGTCTCTCCCACTGATGGCACTGCTGGTGGGGATGTGGGCACAAGGAGCCCTCCTTTTGCCCCTGGCACCGCTCTCCCAGTTGGAGTTTTGTATTTACTCTCATTTAAAATGTGATCTCCTCCCAGGTGCTGTAGCTGGGACATAGCCTGTGGTGCTGCCATCCTGTTACTACAGGGCAAGTTCACCCAGTCTTTGTAGGCAGATGGCAGCAAGCTGTGCTTGTTCTGCTGGTCTTTTGAACTAGAAATCCGCAGAGGACCAAGCCCCGCTGCACGCTGTCTCTCAGCCTGTTTGTTACCTGAGATGTTGGGTTGCACTTTGATGGTCAGGGCTTTTTTGCAGAATGGGGGCCGAGCAGAGCTTCTGCCCGCGACGTGCAGGATTGCCGTGTTCCTGTACCTACCCTTCAAAGGCAGAAGGCTGCAAGTCCTCACACTGCCCCCTCATGAATAATCTTCAGATATACTTTTTTTTTCCCCAGTCAAAGGCTTACAAGTCTCAGATCCCCTCACTCTCCCTCAAGGTCTCCTTTCTGAACGGAGGCCCACGGCGATGCCGCCGAAGTTCTTGACAGTGCGCCAGCTCCGCTGGCTGCGCCGCACGCTGCTGATCCTGGAGCTGTCACCAGAGGGCTTAGCGGCACAGTCTTCTCCCCTCTGAGCATTAAAAACAATTAAAAGCGCAAAGGTGTTTAGTGTTGGCGCTGTGAAGTACAGCAACTGTGATTCCTTCTCTGAGGCTGTGCAATGTGCTTTGCAAGGATGCACTTTTGTCTTTGGAGCCCCTCGTTCCCCCTTAACCGTGCTCCCAGAGAGCACTGACAGCCCTCCAGCACAGCCGCTCTGGTCCCGGGCCGCTCTTTGATCCCTGCTTCACAACGGCAGCGTTTCATCTACAACAGGCAAGGAGCACCAGGGAAGTAGAAAAGACTTCAAACAGTGTCTGAAGAACAACATCAGTGGCCTCCTCTTTTTCACCGGAGGAGGTCACAGGGTGGTAGCGACGGTGGGGCGGAGGGGGGGGAGGGTTATGCTAAGGGGTTACGCGGTGTCTTGCCACAGCTCGGAAGTTGCTTTTTGCTCAGTGGGTTGGGAGAAAGTCAAGTGGTAAAAACGTAATGATGCTGCTTGCTGCAGGTATTCTTGCTGCAGACTCCTTCTTCTGTAGGAGGTCCCTGTCCCATCCCTCCTGGGATGGATGTAACCACCTCAGGACAGAGATAAGACATATATCTAAGCCAACGCTGCCGGCTTTAATGTATTTCCTGAAAGCCGCATGTTTTCCCCTTTGTAGCCTTGGGTCTTTGGTGTGCACAACCACAGCTAACAAAGCACCAGGTTCTAGGGGCTTTGCTCACTCTTTTTACTGGATGATTGGGGTCCAGGGAGACAGGAGGAGTGCGATGAGGTGAGAAGATGCTGAAGCGAAGTTCAGTCCCGTCCCAGCACACCGCTGTGTTTGTCCATGTACTTGTTAGAGCGGGGAGGGGCAGAGAAAAAACAGATCAAACTCTCTTGCCTGCCTGTTTATAGATTTTCCAAACTTCCTACACAGGAAAACCTTTTTTTACACGAAACCCTTCTGAGTTGAAAGGGAAGTTCATCCACACCAAGCTAAGGAAAAGCAGCAGGGGTTTTGGCTTCACCGTCGTCGGAGGGGATGAGCCGGATGAATTTCTCCAAATCAAAAGTTTGGTGCTTGACGGCCCCGCAGCACTGGATGGCAAAATGGAAACAGGTAGGGATGCTTTACATCAAAATCACAACCACCACTTTGGGTTATGTTTTCGCAGCTGGTTTTATGTGCCGTTCACAAAGAATTTTAGTCCTCATCTCCTTTTTGGGGAAAGGCATTCAGCTTTCCCATCAGCAAGCAGGGAAGTGGGAAACATTGAGGAATATATTCAGAATTTTATAGCGAGGCACTTCATGTGCTGGAATTTCACCTCAGGTGTCAAAATATCCAGCTGGGGCTCTGCCAGCTTCTGCCCTCCCCGTGCTGACTGTGGAGAGGTATGTCTGCCATATTTCTGCAGGGCTGCGTCACTGTGTTCTGTCTATCTGCCCTGCTGCTCCTCCCCTCTCCACAGCTACCCCCAGGGAATGGGCGGAGGAGCGGGCTAGTTTGCATTTCCCTGGGTGGAGGTGCCTAGGACCCATTTTTTTTTTTCCAGAGATCAGGCCCAGCGTGATGAAATCCGGTTAGCATTCACCTGAGGTCACGAGTCCTCACTTGCGGGTGGAGCATCGCAACGTTAACCATCCCTGTGTTGCAGCCCATGTTAAGAAATGAATCATAACTTAATTGATACCTTGATTTCAGGCCGAAGTATGAGACATGACACATGGCACCATATCTGAGCAGTTGGTATTTGAGAGCCTACTGTTACAGCTCTCATGTGCTCTCAGTTTTATTTCTGTCATATGTCAGGGTGGCACAGTGTGTAACAGTGAGAGCTGGGCTTCAAAATAACTGTTAAATGGGCCATATACCGTCTTTTGAATTAATTAGATTTTTGCATGAGCCAATTCCATTTTCACTTTCAAAAACATTTATGTACATAAAGGTTTTATGCAGTGAATCGACTGTGTACAGATAGTTCTTGCTTGCCCACTGCTCCTTTTCCTTGCAAAGTACCTAAATGCTGCTATTTACCGGTGAGCGGTACCTGTGGACCAGCTCACAGGCTCTAGTCCTCACCTTCCCGGGGTGCACAGAACGCATGGGTTTGGTAAATGTGTCTGTGTCCTCTGCAGGGGACGTCATAGTCAGCGTGAACGATACCTGCGTGCTGGGGCACACTCACGCTCAAGTTGTGAAAATCTTCCAGTCCATCCCCATCGGTGCCAGCGTGGATCTTGAACTGTGCCGAGGCTATCCCCTGCCCTTCGATCCCGACGATCCCAACACGAGCCTGGTTACGTCTGTGGCAATTTTGGACAAAGAACCGATCATTGTGAACGGGCAGGAAAATTACGACTCCCCAGCGAGCCACAGTAGTAAAACAGGGAAAGTAAATGGCACAAAGGAAGCAAGACCCAGCAGCCCGGCTGAGGTCTCTTCCAACGGACCCCATGGTTACCCCAATGACACGGTCTCTTTGGCGTCTTCGATAGCAACACAACCTGAACTCATAACTGTGCATATAGTCAAAGGGCCTATGGGCTTTGGGTTTACTATAGCAGACAGTCCCGGTGGGGGCGGCCAAAGGGTGAAGCAAATCGTGGACAGCCCGCGGTGCCGCGGCCTGAAGGAAGGCGATCTTATAGTCGAAGTCAACAAGAAGAATGTGCAGAGCCTCACTCACAACCAGGTGGTGGATATGCTGATTGAATGTCCTAAGGGAAGCGAAGTCACGTTGCTGGTGCAGCGAGGAGGTAGGTCTTCAAAACTGCTTTTATTTATTTCTTCCTGAAATTTAAAGAAAATGCATGTAATGAAAGACCTGCTTTCCTAAGCTTCTCTGTAGAAAAGGTTTTATGTCCTGAGGTGTAGAAACTGCCCCAGGTGGGCAGTTGTCAAGTCACACAGATGGTTAAAATTACGTATTGTTGGATGCTGCACTGGGGGAAACGTGCATCTAGTTCCCATGTGCACATGCGCTACACGTGTCTAATGGTAATGCACAAAAGGGTGGTATGGTTACACGTATGGCTACACCTTTACTTACCTAACAAACCCTGATCTCATGCTCATGAAACTTAGAAGTGTTTAAAATAGAATATGGACATTTCTTGACCTGTTTTGGGAGATGGAAGAGTCTGGCAATACGTTCTGTAATCTGCAGTGTTCAAAATCAGATCTCCAATGACTTTTCACTTGGAAGTGTTACGCCTAGATACAGTTGGAAGTGGAGGAGAGAATTTAAATGTCTCCAAGTTGTAAGCAACCGAAGTGTTACTTCTGGACAGGTTTATTTGCTGCACGATGCGGAGCTGAGCTCATTTTCGGGTGCGTTGCGGAGAGACCACCAGCAGATACAAAAAGCACCCTGCAGGCAGTGTGTCTGCAGCACACGTGGGAGCACGGGCGGTGGGTTACCTGTCAGTGTGGCCAGGCCGTCCACAGGAATGCTCTCCCACGCACATAGTAAGTGTAAAGTAGTCTGAGGTGGTGCACCCCACCACACATAGCACGCTCTTAGCCTGCAGATTTAAACTAGAAGGAAGAGTTGATGTGGAGCTCACCGGGAAAGTCCGAGTCAGTTGTGGAGGTGCAGCATGCACCGTGGGGCTCAGCACCTCGCAGGGATGAGCACGCTGCAGAGACACTTTTAGGCTGACAAGTAGGTGCTGAATGCAGCCCCCAGCCAGCCCTGGGAGGAGTGTTCAGTATAAAAGTGCTTTTCTGGTGCCTTTTCTAAAATGTTTTGATTGTAGTAAGTTAGCCACAAAAGCCGGTTCGTTTTAGCTTGCTGAATTTGCAACTCTGCCTTGTTGTTTTGAAAGACCTATTGCTAGGAATTGAGGACATTGATCCTGCAATTAATAGCAGCTCTGGAGAAAGCACTGTCTGTCTTATACTCCTTCCTTTCCAAATGCTTACTGTGTTTTTGTGTTTTGATAGTAAATTAAAAAGTAGAGAACAGAATGTTTTAAGAATTCTTCAATTTTCAAAGTGTGAGTTCCTTAAAGAATTTCAGTACTAGAGAGGTTTAAAAAATGCACTGCATTCTCATGATTAATATATTTATTATTGAGAAATTATGGTTGGAAGAAAAATAGCAGCTATTATTAATCCTCCTGGAGAGAGCATATCTATCTGGTAACACCATACATTAATTATTTGAATTATGGCTGACATGTAATAATCCTCCTTATGTCTTGAAGGCATAATGAAAAGATTTGATGAGGAAATAAAAGCACAGTTTTAATAAGATAGTGAATAGTTCCCTGATAATCTTGCTGAATCTCTCTCTTTTTTCTTTTATTTAATCGATACTAACCACATGTTGAGCATTTGCTATCACCTTACTAGGTAGATACCATATCAGTCTCCTTGAACCGCCTCCCTCCCTCCTTCAAGGTCTTGACATTTCCATCTGAGCATAGAGCACTTGCAGTTCCAAATTTCACGCTCTTGTGGTACAGGACTTGGAAACTGTGGTGGCCCTGGATCCACGGTTAATCGCTGAAGCACGTTTTCCTTCACACCCAGAAGAAAGCTGGACCGAAAGGCACTCGAGTTGTGGCACAGAAGCCAAGCAGAGTACAGACAGTAGTAGCCCCGGAATCAAAAAGAGTCAGGTTAGTTTAAAGCTTGTAAGATGGAGCTGGCTAAAATGCACCCAGCACGCAGTGCTGCTGCGCGTGGGTCTGTTCTCCCGTAACTTTACCTTGTGTTACCCCTGCCAAGTGTTTTTTCAGAAGCACCATCCCCAGACAAGGTGCCGCTATTCATTTTGGTCCGATTACAGCAATGCGTTTGGCTCCAGCGCCGGAGAAGCTCCTTCAGGGCTCCTGAAGCGATTCTTCTTTCGCTTCACTGTCAGTTGTCCTTTCCTCCTCCTCCCTCTGCTGTCCAGTGAAGAAAATGCTCAGATGCTGTCAGGCATCCTTGCGTTAGCCTAATGTTTGCGTTCAGTCAGGCTTGGCGTGAAGCATCCCTGTAACGCTGAGGCTGGTGTTCAGAGCTATCGGAAGGATTTGTCAGAAGTGGTTACTAATCGGGCAGAAAAATATCAGAAAGAGGTATGTAATATACAGGAAAAGCTCTGCCTGCTCCGAGCTGCTGGTGCGCTCCCAACAACGAGGTTTAATTGTTAAAAAGCAAACCCACAGCTGCTGAGAGCAGCCTGTAAAACATTTACTGTAAAGTCTGTTCAGCGGAAACGCCGGCTGCTGGGAGCGGGCGAGCCCTGCTGTTGCCTTTGGGTGCGGAGCAGAAGGGTGATTTCAGGAAGGAGGAAGCCGAAATGCCCCCTCTCTGTGCTCAGCTGCTCACGTGTCATCTGAAGATCATTTGCAGGACTCCTACGAGATTGGGGCAGGGGGATAAATACATGAAGAGTGGGACAATGTCAGGTCATTGAGATTTTGCTTTCCAGAGGCACCGTACAAAACTTGCCTTAGCTATGTTCTGATTTAATTTTTTATTTTCCCCTTCCTCCTCCCCTCTCTGGGGCTTAATTGTGTTATTGCTGTTGGTTTCCTGTTTCACCTATTCGCAGTGCTGGGTAAAACTCACTGAGCTATCTCATGGTTTGGACTTCAACACCTGAGGGGTTCAGAGAGGATGAAGTCCGAGCGGAGGCAGGGTGCAGAGTTGCTAATCGGGCTGTACACAAGAGCAGATCAGAAAAGCTGCTTTTGCTTAGCAAATTGGACAGAGGGGACAAAATTATTGTCTCAAACTATTAGGTAGGAGAGATAGAAGATATTTAAACAACGAGTTGGCTGAAGAACAACTGGGTGTTGTTCAGCCGTGAGTAATTTAAACTGGAAATAAGAAGAAAGTGCCAACCCATTAGAGCCTGGAAGTCACACTGGAGGAGGCAAAAAGGCTTCCCTGCCTGAAGGTGAAGCTCAGCGCATTTGGTGTCTGCAGCAGCAGAGGAGATGCTTGATAATGCAGCAGGACTGTTCAAGGGCTGAGTACCTGAAAGTAAACCAGTGCTGCTGGTTACAAAATGCAGAATTAAGCGTAGGTTTTTGTGCCTGCACTGCACAATGTGATTACACATTTCAGTTCTTTTAAAGAATTATTGTTAATAAGGCCACAAAAGGCACGTCTTTATTTTGAATATTTGCAGCTGAAAAGGTTCTCTTAACCTTGTACCTACCAAGTACATAAAGTACTTTTCTCAAAAAAAAAAATAAAGAACGTAATAATGTTTGCCACTTGAAATCCATTTGTCGTTGAAGTCTTGTGTACGCACAGTAATCGACTGAAATAACCAATGCTCAAATACCTCTCCATTCTGCACAGATTCTATTCATAACAAAAGCAACATTTTGTCAGAATAATTTCCCTGCTTCCCAAGGGACTTTTATTCTGGGGGTTGTGTCTATGCTGGGACAGGTGGGGGGCTGTTTCAGAACAAGCTATTCTATAAAACTAGTGTGCTGTATTTTTTGGAGTCATTAAGATCTAACATTTGTTTCAGTGAGAACATTTGTGTGTCTTATTGATGTATTTTGTGAATTACCTCAGATGAGAGAGGATTATTTTTTCCTTTTTTTTCCCCCGTGTTTTTTTATTAGGTCAGTCTTCAGTTCAAGTCATACAAAAATACTGTGATTAGTTTGTGTTCAGGTACGAGAATTAAGCTAAGCAGTTTTCATGCAGGTTTGAATGGACAGTTTCCCTTCAAAGGGAACTTTCACAGTTAGTGCTCACTAACATCTGTATTCACTGAAAGGTTGAAAATAGCATAAAACGTAATCCCCTTGAAGATATGTTCCCACTTTGTTCCAGATCAAAGTAAAAGCATGCAGGTGAAATGGCACTTACATGTCATGGGCAAATCAGTGGAGTTTCTAATAGCTTTCCCTAGTGCCAAATTCACATTAACCTGGGGAATGGAAATCTGTCTTCTGAAAAATATATGATAGAGTTTCAAAACTAAATGTATATTATAACAAGAACCAATGCAACATCGACCGACAGTGGGCACCTGAGTCTTACCTTCATATAAAAGCACAGTCCATAATAAATTCCCTTTTCATGGTTCAATTGAATGGAAGGTGTTTGTGGGGAGCAATGAGGTAGGTGGAAGCATGGAGAGGTCTGTGCCAACAGTCCTGCTCGTTTGGTCCAGAGAAGGTCCTCGTGATACATATAACTACAGCAAAGATTTGCAGCAATGGAACAAAATTACAAAGCTCTAAAGCAAAAAAACTATGCAGTCTTCTTAACTAGATGGACCTTCCCTTGCTGTTCCAGTGATGCTTTGGGCATGTGAGGGTAATTAACCTCCGACACTTCCCACAGAGAGGAGTTAACTTCTCATTTTTATGCTGAAAACGTGTGCTAGAGACAACTGCCCTGGACTTCAAGGCTCTTTCTGTGACCTAAAATGGAAGAACATATTTTTTTTCCTCTCTCTGTTTATGTTGTGCCCATGCCATTGAAACATTGAATAGTAATATAGAGATGAATGTCTTCATGCTGCTTGCTGCAGCTTCAGGCTCCCGTCAGCCAGGATAGAGTGAGTTACAAGATTCTTTAGATAGTATGAAAACTTTACAAACAATATATCATAACAACTTCTAATTGCAAGCACATTATAACAGTGTAATTGAATTTAGATTGCTCTTTGAGATCTAGAGTGTCAAAATACAATGCTCAGGCATAAATGAGCAGTAGCATTGAACATTAAATATCTGAGCTGAGTGATATCTGTTACCGCTGGAGGTTGCAGAGGGTGTCTCCTCAC